GAGGATGAATTTGCAGGCCTCTGCTTTCCCCAGAAGCTTTGGAAGATCTTGGAAAGTGACCAGTTTCGGTCCATCTGGTGGAGTAAGGGAGGACAATGCGTGGCCATCAATGAAGTTCTCTTCTCAGAGGAGGTGCTGGGCAGGGTTTTTGCCACACAGAAGATGGCGTCTTTCATTCGGCAACTGAACATCTATGGGTTCACAAAAGTACAGCCGGACTTCCAAAGATCTGCCTCCCTGCCTGAATTCCTGGCTGAGGAAACAGCAGCCTCTGCTCACTGCAAGGTGTGGTGGTTGCCCTGCACATCAACCAAGGCAACCAGGCTTGAGGGCTTCCAGTCCCGGGATGGTGACAACTATCTCTTCTCCTTTGTTTGTTTCAGGTGCTCTACTACTACAACCCCAGCTTTAACAGAGAGCATCCCCAGCTGCTGGAGCAGTGCAAGAGGAGAGTTGCCATCAAGCGGAAAGCCCCAGGAGCTCCGCAGGAGGAGGAAGAACATCCCTCCAGAAGCCCCGATGTGCAGCTTGTGGTGCACACACAGGCACCTGCACCCACCAAGAGATGGGCTGAAGCACCTCCTGGCCCCGGCACCGCCCATGGATCTGCAAGGGCAGCTGCTCCCACACGCCCAGAGCCTGCCAGAGCAGCAGGCAGCGAGAGCTTCATCCCTCCCGACCTCTGCTTTCCACCACCATCTGGCCACCCAAGCCTGCATGCTCCTGCTCCTCCACAGTTTGCAGTGTTCCTGCTGTCACCAGCCTCAGCTCTGCCCATGCCAAGGCCCCACCACTGGCCTCCTGCAGCCCCAACCTGGTACATGGACCCCAGCATGCCACAGCCTAGACACAGCACAGGCCCTTGGCTGCATATCACGAGCATCACCTATACTGTGTGTCACATGATATTGAGTTAGTTGTTAGAGATTGAGCTCGTAGATATTGAATTCATAGATAGAGATTGAGTTGATAGATAAGGATTGAGTTAATAAGGATTTTGTTGCTAGACAGAGCTTAGAAGAGTTGGTAGGAACTTAGGAGAGTAGGTTAGATAGAGCCTGACAGAGTTAGTAATGAGCTATTAAACAATAAACCTTCCTCAGTTGTCCTGTCCTGTTTGCACAGCACAACCCCAGTGTGAGTTCCTATTTCACCACCCAAACCCCAAGCAGAAGCAGCTGATCTGCCACCAGATGTCATAAGCCACCGACAGTGTTACTGGGGGACCCTCACACCCCAAAACGTGCCGCAGCAGAAGACAAGGAGATGCTTGCAGGTGCCTACCAGTTTTATTAGCAGCACCGCAGTGGGGTCCCAACCCCACAGTGAGGGTGCTGGGTGTCACCCTGCCTGCCCCGCTATCCCTGTGCAGGTCAGCTGCTGATGTCCTGAGTGTTGCAGCGAGGTCCCTGCCACTCGTCATAGCACTGGCACCTGAACTCCTCAGCCAGTCCCGAGATGTCATCACTGGGCTCCAGGCTCTGGGTCAGCAGCCAGGGCTTGCCGGCTTGCAGGTTGATGGCGAAGCTGGAGGGGTCGAGGTGGAGGAAGCCCTGCTTGTCCTCCTGGCGCACGCAGCGGCCCTGGCCAGAGCACAAGGTCTGGCTGCACAGATCAGCACTGGCTGTCACATTGACAACGTAGTGGCCCAGTGGCCCTTCCACATAGTCCTTCAGCCTCAGGCACATCTCCTGCAATGGCACATGAATGTCACAGCCCTGTTGGCCAGGGAACAGGGGTTCTGTGCAGGCGGTGGCACGGTGCTAACTGCCACACTCACCTTGGAGTTGCTGTAGTTGAGGCTGCCCCAGAGGATTATGCCGGCAGCACCCTGAGCTGCGCTCTCCCCGATGGTGTTCATCAGGTCCTCCTGCACCCAGGGGAGAGGAAAAGTCAACGCTGCCCAAAGAGCTAAAGATTCCCCGGCACCAACCCATCCGCCTGAGAGGTACCCACCATCCCCATGTCCCCATCACCTGGGAAAGGAAGTCGACTGTGCAGTCAAAAGCGATCTGGGAGTAGGGCAGAACAGGGATGCCACCATCAAGGACACCATGCTGCATGGCAAAAGCCTCAGCTACCCGGTGCCGGACGTAGGCAAGCACCTTGTTGGTGCCGTTGAG